TTTATGTCTTAGTATTTTATTTCATTTTATTTTTCAGCCATGCAATTACACTTTATTGAGGATTTTTGTAGGCCATGTGACCTAGATTGGATTGTCAGTATTTTATTCCTTTTTGATGATATTATAAATGGAATTGTTTTCTTAGTTTCATATTCATATTGTTCATTGATAGTTTCCTAATACCAGAAATACAATTGATTTTTGTATGTTAATCTTATTTTCTGCAACCCTGTTGAACTCATTTATTGGTTCTAATAGTTTTTTATTGGATTTCTAAGGGTTTTCTACTATACAATATCACGTCTATGAATGCAGATAGTTTTGCTTTTTCCTTTCCATTACGGATGACTTTTATTTCTTTTTCTTGCACTGGCTGGAATCTCCTGTACAGTGTTAAATAGGAATGGCAAGACTGTACGTCCTGGTCTTGCTCCTGATGTTAAGGGGAAAGCATTCAGTTATTCATCATTAAGTGTGTTGTTAGCTCTTTTCCATGAAGTCCCTGTATCAGGTTGATGAAGTTCCCTTCTATTCCTCATTTCTTGATTTTTTTTTTTTTTAAATCATGAATAGGTGTTGAATTTTGGCAAATACTTTTTCTGAGTCTATCGATATGATCATGTGTTTTTCTCCTTTATCCTATTAGTATAATGTGTTAAACTAATTGATTTTTCAGATGTTAAGCCAACCTTGCATTTTTGGATTTATACCAGGAATAAATCTCACTTGATAATGGTGTATACTCCTTTTCATATATTGCTGGATTAAGTTTGCTAGTATTTTGTTTAGGATTTTTATGTTTATATTCGTAAAGGATATAGGTATAGTTTTCTTGGTATGTCTTTGTCTGGTCTTGTGTCAGGGTAATATTGGCCTTGTAGAATGAGTTGAGAAGCATTTTTTTTTCTTCTCTATTTTCCAGAAGAGTTTGTGAAACATTGATATTAATTCTTCTTTAGATGTTTGGTAGAATTCACCTGTCAAGCCATCTGGGTCTAGGTTTTTCTTTGTGGGAAGATTTTTTATTACAAATTAAGCCCTTGTTAAAAGTCTGTTTAGATTTTCTTTTTCTTTGCTAGTCAGTTTTGGTAATTTTTGTCTTTCTAAGAATTTATACATTTCATCTAAGTTATCTAACTGGTTGGCATACAGTTCATAGAAATCCCTTATAATCCTTTTAATTTCAGCAAGGTTAGTAGTTAAAGTTAGTAGTTCCTCTCTTTCATTCTTGACTTTAGTAATTCTTTCTTGCTTGGCCAATCTAACTAAAGATTTCTCAATTTTGTTGAAAATTTCAAGGGCCAACTTTTGCTCTTGTTGGTTTTCCTTTATTTTAAAAAATCTGTTTCACTGCTTTCTGCTCTAATCTTTATTATTTTTTTCCTTTTGCTTATTTGGGATTTTATTTGCTTTTTTGGTGGTAGGTTTTAAAGGTATTCATAGATGGTTAGGTTATTGATTTGAGATCCTTCTTCCTTTCAAATATAGGTGTTCATGGCCATAATTTCTTTCTAAGTATTATCTATTTTTATATATTGCTTGAATGAATAATTTACCTCTGACAGTAGTAAAAATGGATGTTTTGGGGCATCTCACACAAAAGACTGAAATATTAGTAAATGGGAATTGAGTAGGGAGTTCTTTCAAAGTTTTGGATTAACAACACTGGAAGATCCATAGTTTATAGTGAGTCTAAAGATATTTTATTAAGTCTTCCTATATAAGCAAGACTTGACCTATGGTTTTGTTTTTTTTTTGTCTTTTTTTTTTGAGATAGAGTCTCACTCTCTTGCCTGGGCTAGAGTGCTGTGGCGTCAGCCTAGCTCACAGCAACCTCAAACTCCTGAGCTCAAGTGATCCTCTTGCCTCAGCCTCCGCGGTAACTGGGACTACAGGCACACGCCACCATGCCTGGCTATTTTTTTCTTTTTTTTCTATTTTTAGTTGTTTGGCTAATTTCTTTCTATTTTTTAGTGGAGATAGGGCCTCACTCTTGCTCAGGCTGGTCTCGAACTCCTGACCTTAAGCAATCCTCCCGCCTCGGCCTCCCAGAGTGCTAGGATTACAGGTGTGAGCCAGACCTATGAATTCGGAACCACTTTAATTTTTTTTTTTTTTTATTTCAGCATATTATGGGGGTACAGATGTTTAGGTTACGTGTGTTGCCCTTGGTTCCCCCTCCTCAAGTCCGTG